TGTGTGAGCAGGCAGACAGGTTGTGAAGTAAATCGAGCTAACAATGGGTGAGAGGATAAATATGTACGTGTGTCTCAAATAAAGACTGGAGGCTTATTTCAATCCATCCAATTCAGGGTTGTGGTGGGCTATCTTACCCAGCTGTTACAGGGTGAGAGGCGGGGTACACCCCGGACAGATCTGGTACAAAAATGTCACTTAATTGAAATTAAATTGATTGATCGATTATTTCAAAAATGATCTGATTTGCACTCAAACACACAATAATGTTTATAAGCTTAAATAAAAACAGCATTTAAAAGTAATCAACAAACCCTGTGAAGTAATGTAAATTTTAATCTGTTTCCTCTATTCAGTTTTATTTACATAGCACCAAATCAGGAAAAACAGCTGCCCCAAGGTCAGGGGCGTAATTTCCAGGGGGGTTAGGGGGGTTATGACCCCCTTCAATAATCAGACCCAACCAATATAACCCCCCCAATAAAATTGTTTATTATCTTGCATAAATAGGCTGTTGATTTTCTTTACTCATTTCAGGTATTACCAGCAAAATAGTTGCATGTTTAATCATCTGGGAATTTATTTATTTATTTAGACAGAGATCTTGACACGCCCCCCCCAATGTTCAGCACTGTAATATTAGAGAGAAAAAAACAACAATTTGACAGTCCCACATGGGCAAGCTCTTGGCGACAGTGGGGAGCAAAAACTCCCTTTTAACAGGAAGAAATCTCTAGCATGAGCACAGATACAAAAGACTAACCAGCTACAGAAAATATTTAACAGATACAGGTGAAATAAAAGCTGACTTTATTTATTTTTCGACAAACTTTTCTTTTTGACCACATCTAGTCATTTCATTTTGGAAAGTTTAAAATCTTTTTTGTTTCTTAACAAAAAGTAGCAGCTAAAACTTTTGGTATCTTTAAATACAACCCAGCTGGGCTATAATATAATGAAGTTTAGTGCTGAGACTATTATTTGCTACATGTTGGAGAGATACCAAGAGATACCAAAACCCAGCTTTGTGACTGATTGCTTGTTACAGTTATTATTTGTGCATTAATGTGCAATTTACAGCTGACATTATTAAGCCTTTCTACTGCTCAAACCCAAAGATCTCCAAAGCAGTCAAAGCATGCTAAAAGACTTCTTTTTGGAGTAATTAAAAAAGTCCCGGCAGCAGTCGGATCATTTATCCCCTCTTTAGTCGTTACTTGATGTGTCACTTTAGGTCATCCTAAAGCCACTTACAGCCTAAAAAGCAAGTGTAATGAAATGAGGGTGTGAGCCGACACTGAACCAAACTCCCTGGTGAGGCGAGATACCCACTCATTAATAGCGGCTGTTTAATGAGGCGTCATGATCACTGCAGGGTCTCATCGAGGCAGCGGACATTAAAATACCTGCTCATCTCATTGTAGCCCTGTATGTGTGTGTCTATACATTTATGCATGTGTGTGGAAGAGGGATGGGGGCGGTTTGAGCTCATTCGGTTGCAGGTGAGGGCGCAGCTTCCTCTGCTGGTACTCGTCCTTATTTTAGGACTGAACGACAGAATGAGGGAGACAGAGTATAAGAGAGAGTGTGTGAAGGAAAGAGGTGAGAAAACGGGGCATCTGAGGGAGGGGTGTTGTAAAGTATAGCATTTACTTTATGCGTGTGGGGAGGGAAGATAAATCTAGGGCTTGCTGGCCAGCATATAGACCAGATGTGTCACAATCATGGCCTCTGGGCCAAACGCAGCTCTTCACAAATTTCAGTTTAGCTTCCTTATCACTTTAAAATTCCCAATAAATTTGGGCTCAGCTGGTTGTTACTGTAGTCTGCACAGTCTGCATCCACAACAGGAGGGTTTTTGTTGACTGGTATCGCACTTGAGAAGAGTATGAGCGACATGTATTTTATTTTAAACCGAAGCGTATCAGAAAACTGTGTCTGTCCAGCCCATGTTGTGATTGTCATGTCCAGTTGTGGCCCAAAATGAAACTGCGACACACAAAGGAACCTCTATGGGATATTTCATGCACACCAGCTGAGATGTCTTAGATTAATGAGCTTCTTTGGATGCTTCCCTCTACTATTCCTTAATCTTTCTGGGATTTTTTTTCACCCTCACACCTGTATCACTCCTCCTTTTCCTTTTCTATATACTTCATCTGTGCTGAAGGGGAGCAGGTGTGGTGGAACAGCTGGGTTATCTAGACTTCTGGCAGACACAAAGTAATGTCTTTGGTCATGAAGGGAAATGAAAAACACTCTTTACTGGCTACAGTAAACAGTTTATCAGTCCCTAAGTTTGTTTGACTGAGACCTAATATTAGGGAGAAAACCTCAACAACACTACAGTCCTCTATGAGGATGGACTTGGCAACAGTGGGGAGGAAGAACTCCCTTTTTCAAAGGAAGAGGCCTCAAGCATAACAAGGCTTGGGGAGAAGCAGTACTCTGC